CATTGATGAGACAAAGTGAAAGCCACAGAGATGATCATGACGTTCATGAGGCGTTGGGGGGAAGTGGGGGGGTGGGGGTCAGGGTTAAAGTCACAGCTGGAGTTGGGTTCTTTAGGTAAGAGTCTTGACAAAGAATGTTGTCGTTTTTATCTGTCGTACTTTGTTGTACTGCACTGCACAACATCGAACTGCAAAACGTGATCGCTCGTACGTCGATACTTCACGGTTTTTAACTGGATGTTGACTGAACGTACATCTGACTGCATTATGTTCACATTTCTACATGTTTATATTTCTTGTATGACGACTCTGTCTACTGTTTGGAAAAATTTTGACTCACTTTAAAATGTGATTCAAGACATCATAACAAGGGATGTCCAATAATATCAGCTGACCTGATATTATCGACCCGATATTAGCATAATTATATAATATATGTAAGAATCGTTATCATTTTTGATAACGCTGGCAGCAACTCATACAGTGGTCGGAATCAGAATTGGAAATCACCAAACAATGTGTACCCTAAAAATAGTTTTGGGGAAAAACGGCTGTATATGTAAGTGAAAGTCACTAGATGGCAGCATTACAGCTCATTTTATTAATCTATTCTAATAATCAGGGGACAATAAGGAGAATGCTGGCAGCAACTCATACAGTGGTCGGAATCGGAATTGGAAATTAAGTGTTTGGACAATATCGGATATCGGCAAAACGTCAATGTCGAACACCCTAATCATAACTCAGGGCTAATCACACAAAAATAAAAATGATATAATTTACACACAAACTTCTTTAAACCTGTGTATAAAAGTGCAGAAGAGATCATGGTAGTTATCAGGTTATCAGGTTCAACAGATCACACATGCAGGTTCTGAGGAGAATAAGATACTGGAGTCAGTGATCATGACCAGAGCCGCTCATTGAATACAGATGTCTGAAATACCATTGACTTCATTTGAAACAGAGCCACTGACACAGGACAGACACAGAAGGACACAGAGTGACCTGTCCTCTGTCAGCTGACCTCATGACCTCACAGTAGGTTTATGGTTATGACCCAGCACAGAGGGATCAGGACGGGGACTGTCAGGCCAGTGTCCTGACGTGACAGGAGACACAGACTGGCCTGTGATGAAAATGACATTGCAGACTGTTTCAATCGGTTACACACGGACACGAAAAACCCATCAAAAGTTCCCACTGGCAAAGTGAGGAAGGAGGATAGAACCCATGACGACTTATATATATATTTTTTTTTTTTCTAGCTTAAAAACAAAGGTTTAACACAAAGTAGAAAAAGGAACTGTACAAGATGATGTTGACAAATACAGCCAGTGTGCAACAAACAGACATCCAACTGTATTTGTTCAAATCATCTGACTGGAAGGAGAAGCTGGAGGTCACAGTAGTGCTGTTAGATGGAATGAGAAAGGTTGTGGTGACTGACAACCAATCAGAGGCAGCCGTTTGGTTCAGAACAGCACAGGCAATGTTCTAGTCAAGCTTCTGCTCACCTGCTGTCCCATTCGGGATAGAGGGGGAATGTGAAGAGGTGTTTAAGAAGACGGGCATATACAGACAAAACCACCCCCACACTGACCCCCACACTGACCCCCACACTGACCCCACACTGACCCCCACCACCCTAGACCCCAGTTATCACCGTGTATACACACCAGTGTCAGAAAACCAAGCCAGGGCTCGGAGCAAAAATGCCTTAAAAATATCAAGTTAAAGACTTGAACTTGACATGACTGTGTCAGTGCAAAGCAGCCACTGTGTTTATATACGTATGTATGAACTTTATTTTGTTTAAAAAATAAAGTAGAACTAGTTAATTAGTTAGTTAGTATCGTGGGAGACAACGTTTAATTGCTAATTCAGCATGATGTCTAACACTGTGCACACTGTATTAGACATGTTAGCCAGGAAATTAGCCAAGCGTAGCAAAATGTTAAGTCTGGTTAAATTAGCCCATGTATGATTGAAAGTAAACATATTTTCATCAAATTGTATAGACGTTGTTATTATTAAACACAGCGAACCTAAAATTAAACATAAAAACAAAAAAAGGCTGATTTAAAATCGATAGAATACGTCATACACTTCTGAAAAAGATTGATACGATCACAGCAAAGCGGATGTTATTCAAAAATAGACACATGCTTCCACCTTGTGGTTGGTTTTGGTAATAACCCAGCTGTGAATGAATTCTTTAACTAGAATTTTTACGCTTGAAGATAAATTATAAATTATAAATCAGTGTATTAGGAAAAATGATCGTAATATAACATACTATAACTATAAATAACAGATTTGTAACATTTTATTTTTTGAATATCTTGTACAACTTGACAATAAGAAAATAATTTGTTAAACGTAACTTACCCAACATCATCCATGATACAGCCTGACCACTGATCGTCACACTTGCATTCACCTAGGAGAAAGAAACAAACAGCAGTGAAGATGAGGTGGATACTGTTTTGTAAGCTTCATAAATGAAACAACAAAAAACACGTTTTAGTTTTAATCATGTACCGTTGAGGATTCTCTTCTTGTCTGAGAAGATGCCAACGTTCTGTCCAAGTGACTGGGCCAGAGTGATGGCCATCTCATCTGTTTTACCATACTGATGAGAGACAGGAGAAAAAGAGTTAAGAACAAAGTTTATTTTGTTTTATATACTTCAAATATTTTAGGTCTACAGGGGGCGCTGCAGCCAATCCATACAGGATTACATATTCCATACAGGAAGACTATTAGTTTCCACCAGGTCTTGTTCTGCTGATTTACCTACAACAAGACACCGACCACCCTGTCACACTGTTCTACCCATTTTAAGATTATTTAAAATACACATTTTTCAAATGCATTTTCATGTAAATCAAAACAAAATCACAAACACAATGCATTTCTAACATCTTTAGCCATTAGGGGGAGACATCAGGCATCAGCAGGGACACATTTTGGTGAATATTTACATTAGAAGATAATTATTATAAATCATAAATTGAATTTCTTAGAAAAAAACCAAAAACAAATTAACAACACACTTTGGAGAATATATTCCATTCGTGTTACCTCGTTGACTCCACCTCCTTTAGACAAGGAACAAACTCCTCCCATGTAGGAAGCTCCGCCCCAGCTGCTGTGGAAGCGATTTCCTCTGATAAAATGGAAACATTTTTATTCAACAAATGAACCCAACACAAAAGCGACAAACACCGAACATCGTCTCTGATCTTCACACTCACGAGAAGAGGTGAACAGAGTCACATTTCTCCTTTATGAAGTCTTTGCGGTACTTCATGAACTCCTTCAGGGTCACCATGGGGTCGTCGTCAATGTTGAACTTGTTGTCAGCAGACCAGGTTTCCATAGCGACCAGTACAATGCGGGTATTTAGCTGTTCCTTGAAGATCTGGGCAAGGAAATGAAAAAAAAACAAAAAACAACTTGTGCTTGAACGGTTTCTTTGGAAATAAAAGACGTGAAAAACTCATTTGAAAAACGTGTTAAAAATGTATGCGTTGGTGGAACACCTTGACATAAATCACATTCATCCTCATCATCGTCTGCAGCGGAGCATTGGCAGCACCTGTCACTGTGATTAATACAGTCGTGCCACCAGACAGCAGCACATTACAGGCTGTCTGAAGGACAGAGCAGGGACAGACCGGCTGTCAAACACAAATGTTTGTTTCCAACCTTGATCAGCTCCAAGTCCAAACAAACACTGAGGGAGAAAACGTGGACGAAATTCCACCAGAAAAGTTGGTCTATTTATCTCATTAATTAGGGCCATGAAACTCCTGTTCCCATTCAATGAAAATAGTTGTTAAAACACAGTTAACATAATAATAATAATAATTTGTGTTAGCAGCAGATATGCTAGTAACACATGTTAACGTTTAGCTACTTGTGTCCAACTTTTTTCTGAATATTTTAGACATTTTAGAGTAACTTTTTAAACTTTTTTTTATTTTACTTATTTTTTGGTTGTCTTTAAATTATAAATAATAATCATCTTGAGTAAGCTTTAGCCTTTTAGCTAACTTTTTATCTTCTTTTAGCTAACACAAAGCTAGCTCACTGCTCACGTATTTTATTTAAGAACTCGCATTTTTTGTGGTTACATTTTGGCTGACACTGGTTTAATTTGTAGGAAAATTACGTTGTTGTTGTTTTTTTTTCATAAAAGCTTGCACCACATGGCAAAAAATATGTCTGTAGCTTAGTTAAGTTAAAAGTCAAAGTAAATTAAAAGGGAGTTTTTTTTCCCCTCCATAATTAATTTGTTTTGTGACAATATTTCTGGGCAGTAAATTACATGTATAATATGTTATAGTGCAGTAAAATCTAATAATAAGTTTTTCCCCCTGAATAATAAATATATTATAAATCTGGTATTTCCACTGTTACATGGTGGCACAGTCTGAATGAAAGGACAGCTCTATTTGTACATGAAAATCAATGTGGACTTCCCAAACGGAGCCTGCGTCACACGATCATCTTCAAGGGCACAACAAAAAGTCCGACCTTCCTGCAGATGATCAGTTTACAGACGTGACCCTTCGGGCAGGTCGGATTTCAATAATGCAGCTCTACATGATGTGGCCACAAACTGAGTCATTAAAGAAAATGCGCCTGGTTACTGTTGGAATGTCACAGCGGCTGAAACACTCGCCACCGTGGGAGAGGTTTTAAATGGAGCCACTGAGGTTGGTTAAATGAGAAATCAGTGCAGTGGGTGTTCAGCCTCAATACAGGGGAGTGCTTGTGGCAAGCTTTCCAAGAAGTGGATCAATAGAATTCTTACCAAGTCAGCCATATTGACCACCGACTTAGCATAGTTATTTGTGTGCCCCACAGAAAGCCGATGCTTCTTGTACTGGAGGGAGAGAGAGAGACAGAGAGAGACAGAGAGAGAGAAACAGTTATTAGAGTGGTCCATAATCTCAAACAAATTCATTTCGGAAAAGTTTTGATTTACCTTAAAAGTCACAACTGTTGTGTATAGAACAAAGTATTATAGATCCGACTCAATACGTTTTGTGCTTTACACACAGTGTAGACTAGAGTGACTGAAGACGTTGATTGTCAATCCTGTGATAAACTCTCAACGTAGAAATATATTTATGAAAAGACATAAAGGTAAAAAAAAAAATCCCAATCCATATTGGTTACATTAGATAATTCTGTATTGATTTATTTCTATAAACGTCCAGACGCTGCTAACATGATTAAACAGAGTACACAGAGGATGTGTACACTCTACTGTACTGATCATCCGTACTTTACAACTCGGTGGTTTTAAAACGTACCATTAAATGGTCATTGATCACCATCAACTCGATGTATTTTGTCTCATCCTCGACACTGTGGGACAGGTGTGGGACCTGGGAGGAAAGTAGACAAACACAAACACGTCAACAGTGCTGAGAAAATATTGGGGAAAAAAAAACTCCTGGGAGCTTGGACTGAGAACAGCTTCTACTCATAAGATAAATATTTCATGTAAAAGAAGAAAAAAATATTGGGGAAAAAAAAACTCCTTGAGAGCAGCTTCTACTCAGAAGATAAATATTTCATGTAAAAGAAGAAGGAAAGGAGGAGAGAGAAAGAGAGAGAGAGAGGGGGGAGAGCTGGGTGTGTGGGAGGAGAGTCAGCAAACATCACTCCTCTTCATCCCTGTCTTCATCTCTGTTCTTATTTCTATTCTAACGATGTAAATTAGCATAATAGTCCAGAACAAGAGCAGTGGAGTCATTAAAACAAAAGTGATCACAATTTTAAATTGTATTGACAAATGTAGAAACAGTGGCAATGGTCCAGTAAAGAGGACAAACCTGTCTCTTTTGCCTCCTGTGAACGACCTTTGACCCGGGAAATGGAGGACTGGGAAAAGGAGGCTCTGGTAGGTTCTCTAAAAAATAGTTATCACTTCAAATGAATAATGAATGTTATTTCATGCCTGGGGTTATTAAATACGAACTCCAAAAACATGTCTAACCTTAATAACATTGCATTATAATAATATTTTTTTTAAAATCACCGTACCATGTAGAAATGCTTTGAATCCTTCCTCGCCTGCAGATTTATATACCATGTGAATACGGACATCCTCCTGAAAGACACAACAACAGAACAGAAATCAGGATAATCAGCAAAACCAAGCTGTACACGGGTTCACTGACAAAAGGCCATCGACAAATACATGACGCAAACCAGTGACCTCTTTGCCTTGAGGCAAGAGCACTGTGTCTACCACTATGTCAGTGTGCTCTGCCTGCCTCTAACGAAAGAGACATAATTACAGTGTATCTGAAAAAACAGGCAAGTAAATCTATAAAGCGGCATTCAGTGTTAATCCAAATAAAGAATTACAACATTATTGAGCATTTTCTTTTTTTTTAATTTCCTTATCCAGTATGAAAATATGTGAGATTATTTTACCAGAAGCCATTATTTAACCACTTTAATATGTTAACTTTTTTTAATTTTTATTATTATTATTATTTTATTATTATTTGCACGACGGTTACATAACGGTTTATGTTTACATTAGGACGCCCACTGAGGGTGAAAAAATCCACCTGCGAGACAGCGCTCGGGGGAAACAATGCTGCCTTTGCGCAGCCTGGTCTTGTTTACTGTCTTCTTTGACTGTACTTCAGAGTAGAAACGCCTCGGCTGTTGTGGTGCCTCTGGCTCAAAAGGACAAACACAAAATGTCACGGTCTATACTGTGAAAACCCGGGAACTACTGTAAGTACAAAGAAGTGTCCATGTTAGGGGAACTTACTGCGTTTTTAACTCCGGTTTTCATTCTGTACACAACAGGTTGCTACGTCGCTAACTTTTAGGCTAGCCGATAGCTTAGCAGGCTGGTCAAAAGAAAGAACTACGTGGTACTTTAGGATTTTAAGAGTTTTCTTTTACAATGAAACGATTCAAAAAGTGGATTTAGTGTTGCGACTAATGACTACGTTCATGGTGTAGATCATGATTCAGGTTTTCGACTCTGCAGTTTATTGTAAAAACGTTAGCCTGTCTGGCTAATGTTCACGTAAAATCACAGACGTAATTATACGTTTAATTAACCTGTCATTACATGTGGTATAGTATTTTTTTTCTGTTACAACGGTTATTTTGTGTGGACCAGAGTTGCCCACCAACCCTGGACCAGAGACCAGAGTTAATCACGTAATAATACAGTTATGATGTTAATTGTAGTAAGAGCGGAACTACTTCAAAAAAACAAAACAAAACAAAATAAAACGAAGTCTAACATTAAAATAGGACCAATTACAAAGAAATGCTTTGACATTTTGACATTCTTAATTTTTTTATACATTGTGTAAAAATATTTCCCCTCCTTTTGTCAAATAATTTTTCACATTAAAAGACCCCTGAAAGCTTGATGGGACCTATAATTAACAATCATATGAAACATGATACAGGATCCTGCCAGTAAGAAATTGACTCACATACTTATGTATGAAGATAGAATTAAATAGCAGGCACATATTTGTGTTGGTGTCATTTGTTAAAGTACTCCTTTAGACTAAACCAAAGGCGTGGTTGTGTTTCCTTCTGATAAGCTGTAAGAGCCACGGCGAGTCATCGTTGTAAATCTTTCCCCGCTGACACATTAAAGAAAGCTCAAGTGTGTAACACAATTGTTTATTGTGTGGCTGCACAGCCTATGTGATGCACTGCAGTATCTGTGGACACTAAGGCTCACTCCTCAACCTCCGCCATCAACTCATTCTCACTTTGTTTGCCAATGAAATGAAAGCATTGTTTCTATGCGACAGCAAATATTAGGTCAACCTCTCCGTGGTGGATGGGAGTAGAGGGAGGCTACACTCGAAGTTAGGTCAGAATCTGGCACAGTTAGCTTACTCCAGTAGTAAAGGGGCCATTCAATAAAACCCGTGAAATGATGTTTGGTTCAATTCCTGGAGGAGAGTTAAATAAATGAATAATAATCAGGCTGAATGACTGTCCACCGACCAGCTGTTTTTTCCCCCTTTACTTCCTCAGGAACTTTTCAACAGGAACTTTCTCGTGGCCTTGTTTCCTGTCAGCACCAGTGACCATGACGTGCCGGGACATTCACGCCACCAACATGTTTGCCTTCATCTTTGCCTGTGTGTCAGTGGGAGGGCTGGCCGTGGCAACTGTCATCCCACAGTGGCGTGTGACCAGACTGATCACCTTTAATCGTAACAGCAGGAACATCAGTGTGTACGACGGTCTGTGGACCAAATGTGTGAAGCAGGATGGATATTCAGGATGTTACATCTATGATTCAGAGGTAATGAAATCCCATTGGTTGTCTCCGTCCCTCACTGTACCTGACTGAAACTGTCTTTACAGAAATGATCTTCTGTCTTTTCCAGTGGTACTCCAAGGTGGACGTGCTCGACCTGCGACTCCTGCAGTTCGGTCTGCCCGCGGGGCTCATGTTTGCCACCCTGTCTTTGCTCCTGTGTATGGTGGGGATGTGTAAGACCTGCTGCTGCTCAGACAAACCTGAACCAGATATTAAAACGACCAGATTCCTAGTGAACAGTGCAGGCTGCCATCTGGTGGCTGCCATGTTCTTGTTCCTGGGTGGAGCCATCGCTCTTGCGCCCTCAGTGTGGTTTATATTCCAGACTCAGGAGCTGAACAACAAGTATGAAGTCATTTTCTCAGACGGATTTGCTGTGTACGTGTCCATTGGCTGCTCCGGTGGATTGATACTGGCCTCGCTCATGATGTTCATGTGGTACTGCATGTGTAAGAAGTTGCCTTCACCGTTCTGGTTGCCAGTGTCCACCATGTCGAACTCTCCCTCCACTCAGCCTTTAACTGCCAACGGATACCCCCCCTCCCCGGTCTACGCCCCTCAGCCTTTGCCACCGCAGGCCCTCCCTCCAACCGTCATTGACAACCAGCCTTTTCTGGTGCCACAGGGCTATGCACAGAGTGTGGTTGCCCCTGCACCACCGCAGGTGTACGTGTCTCAGATTTCTGCTCCTGATGGGTACGGGTCAGAGGTGGGGAGGACCCAGGCCTACAGCTACGCTCCCTCCCAGGGCTACGCACCATCGCAGGGCTATGCTCGCAGGGCTACGCACCATCGCAGGGCTACGCACCATCGCAGGGCTATGCGGCTTCCCAAGTATATGCTCCTTCTCAGGGCTACGCCTCCAGCTACATGGGCCACCGCCAGTCCACCCGTTCACGTATGTCCGGCATAGAGATTGACATTCCGGTGCTGACGCATGGGGATTAACAATCTCGGCAGGTTGAGTTTGAGATTGAGACTGACAGTGTTACGGCTTCACTCAGTCCAGGTTGATAAATCACCACTGGTTGAATGTTAAAGTCAGTCTCATGTCAACTGGAGGTCTTTTATGAAGGAAACATTAACAGAAATGAACAAAACCACTGGGGTTAGCATCACTGGATTAAGATTAAGATTAAGAAGGAAAATCACCAGCGAAACACTAACACTAAAGACACTTAACTACACCATACTTTTCACCTTTTTCTCTGCCCAGCTCTGTGTTTACAAGCAAAAGCAAATATTATACTGTTAATATGTCTTTATATGAACATTTTATTCCAAGTCTCAGATGAACCACATTCAGGAAATGTAGTTACGTTCTAAAAGTGGAAACGGTTTACTTGACTTTTTATGTATCAGAAAAATGAAAAAAAAAACATGTTTTTCACTGACTGCTTGTATTTTAGAAATGTATCTTAAACAAATGGAAATAAGTGTCAGTGTCAGTTCACTTTGTTCCTGATGGTTAAAAATGTAAATTGCCAAACTACAGATGAAACATTTTATTGTTTTATTTTATTGTTACAGTACCACTACTGACCGAACTGTCAGCATCAATCTTTATAGTAATAGATACTAACTCACTTTTTTTATTCTGTAGAATCCTGTTACTTTTAAGTCTAGTTGCTTTATTTTTAACTCTTCCATTTGTGGAGCAGCTTTTACTGTTTTTATTAATGCACTAATTGAGTACAAACCGTATCAGTCTCTATGCCTTTGTTCACCGTTGTTGTGTACTTTGCTCTCACAGGATTTATTTGTTAGGGTGTGTGATGATCATGGCACTAAGTGTTTTTATTTTAAATGTACAGGTGCAGATACTCATTTTTATATATATATCAATATAATGAAGAAAAATAAAAATCTGAAGAAGCGGTTCCTCCAGCAGGTTGTGGTGAAACGTGTAAAAACAACAACTACGAGAAATGACTTGATATATTTGTACGATGAAGTCTCCGCCACTGTCTGTGTGAAGTGAAGTTGTTCATGTCCACTGTGTCATTGGTCGAGCCAAAAGTGACGAGTGAGGAGTTGGTCGTTGCCTTCTTTGTGTTTTTTCCTAAACAGCACTGAACAATGTTTGTCTGTGATTCTGTCATGATGTGATTCAAACGAGTTTGTTTTTCTATTGGAAAATAAAACAAAATATAAAATGACTTTAAATCCCTGGTTTATAATGGTGTATAATTTCCTCAGTATTCAGATTCATCCTTTTTCCAGCCTCTCGTACTGTCAATAAAACCGCCGAGTCAGCGAGCTCGTTCCAATGACACGCCCAAAAAATCCACCCTGAAGTCCGTACGCAGATTAAGATTATAGCAACAAAATAAAAAAAGGGATCAACAAACATCCACCGCAACAAAAACTATAAACATAATATATAATATAAATATATATTTTGTCTCTACTACATCCTCCAACCAGGTCACAGGCCAGGAAACGAATCCAGAGAACAAGGCCTCAACAAACTGAATTACAAACTGGAGGAGTCGGCTCCAGGATGCTCTCACTGACGACGTGTGCACACGACCGCAGTGTAAAAGACACAGTGTTTTCAAATCAATAGCCAAAGAGCCGCTGGTTTCCCGGATACATTACAAATCTTTCTGTAATTCCTTCATGAAAACATTGATTTGTATCCTTCCACCAGCAGATCCAAACCTGACGCGTCGATCTCCAGGACCCCCAACCCTAAATCCACCCCCTCCCATTACTACAGTCAGTTACAGCTGCGGTTCCCAAAGTGGGGGGCGGGGCCCTTGAGTTTAAATATGTTCTTTAATAATGAAGTAAATGTATTAAAGCCTTGGTTTACACATTCAATTCTCTGCTCTCGTTCCTGATTCTGTGGGAATTGAACCGGCACATGATTAACGAGCTGCCAGCATGAAGTGTGTTAAGTCTGAACCAGGGTTATTAATGATTAATGATGATTAATAAGAGGGTAATTAAAGGAAATGCCGATGCCTGTTATTGTTCCTCTCTCACGGACACACACCTCACACGGCCTGTACGAGAGAGTGTGTGTGTGTGTGTGTGTGCGCAGGGATGGCGATCACACATCTATCGACAGATGGCTTTCATATGTCGTGATACAAAGGAAAGGGGGCGGGGCCAGGGTTGCCATGGAGACGGTACCTCAAACACAGGCCGCTGGCTCATGAATGTAAAGCAGCGAGGGGTAACACACATTTTTATTTCTGCCCCGTCTCTGCGTGGGTGTGTGTGTGTGTGTGTGTGCATGAACTGGACTCTTCACAGAAACACCAAATTGGTCCAGTCCACAGGGAGACCCCCGCCCCCTCACTTTATACACACACATAGACACATATGTTTACAGCTTGTAGAGAAAAAAGAAAAAAAAATGCCTCTGGCACTTGCATTCCACCCCCACCCCACAACCTGCCACTCTTCACACATTAACACCCCCCCCCCAATAACCCTACAACCCCCAACCCCCAATAACTGAGGCCAGTTCTACACAGAACACCTGGTCGTTCTGGTCAGACCAGGATCTGAGGTCTGCCAATATTTGATCAACATCTTTGACAAAAATCCATCTGTTACTAAATTTGAAGACAATATTTGAGATATTAAAAATTCCAATTTTTCATTTTGGCCAACTTCACCAGTGCAATTTTCACTAATTGCCCCCACAGGGGTAGCCAGTAAATCTGAGGGTGTCAGACTGAAACGGTCCTTTTTATTATAACCTATTCCATCCTTCTCTCTCTCCTTCTCTCTCTCTCTCTCTCTCTCAGCAGCTCAGCTGAGGGTGACCATTGGGGGCGCCACTGTTTGTGAAAGCATAATGGCAAAAAACCCAAACCAGAAATAACTGGTCTTTGAAAAACCAGATTGAAATTTGATGATGGAGATGTTTTGGGAGGATGAAGAGAGAAGACGATGTTTAAACCTTTGAGACTGCTGAAGAAGCTACTCCAGGAAGTCCACGTGTGTGTTGTTGACGGACCCACAAAAATCTACTTTCAGGACCGACAGAAAGACTGTGGCGTGACCTAAAGAGGTCAGGGTTCATGACAGAAGATTAAAGACAGTGTTGTGCATAAAAACATTGATTTTGGCTGGTGCCACCAACAGGGGTCAGCAGAGAGCATGTCCTTCCTGACCCAACCCAACCTCAGCTTGGGGACCACTTTGAGGTGAAGACTTCCCTGAATCTCCCACTGTGCTGCTGCTCTTCAAAACATGTCCTGACGGAGGTCCGTGACTGTTTCTAAATCTGTCCAATCAGCATAAAGACAGACCTGCGGTGATGGAGGAGTGAGCAGGAAACTGAACCATAATAACAAAGGTCTGGTGTTTTCTCTATGATGCTATAACACACTTATATACAACAACAACAACAACAACACACTCCAATGTCACACTCTCAGCTTGAGAAAGTCTAATTTTGGCCGAGTGTACTGTCCCCTTCTGTTGCCCAGGTGTACTGCAGCCTGTTTACCTTCCACACTCAGACACGGTCTATCAGGTTAGTATCACGAGGTAAAAAGACGTTTGCTTTTCCAACGTCCAGCACAAGTCTATCCTGGCTCGGAGGAGAGGGCAGATGGGTTTCCCATATGGGCAACAGGAGTCATGCCGACTCTCATCAGCCACCAGTCAAC